TCATATACATCATGGAATCATACAATATTTGTCCTTTTGTGTCTGGCTTTATTTTACTTAGCATAATGTCTTTAAGGTTCATCCATGTTATAGCACAGGTCAGAACATTGCTTTTTAAGGCTGAATAATATTCCATTGCATGATATACCACCTCTTGTTTATTTGTTAATGTGTCAATGGACGCTTGGGTTGTTTCCATCTTTTGTGTGTTGGGAATAATGCTTTTGTGAACATTGGTGTACAGATATTTGTCTAAGTCCCTGCTTTTTCAATTCTTTTGAGTATATGTCCAGAAATGGAATTGCTGAATAATGTGGTAATTCTATGTTTAATTTTTCTGAGGAACTGCCATATGTTTTACTTTTTTTTAACATCCATAAATTTAGATGTATTTTTAATCAATAATTATAGCTCTGCATTATCATTTTAAAATTTTTTTTAATTTTTAATTTTTTAATTATGTTTATTGGGGTAACATTGGTTAATACAATTATATAATTTTCAGGTGTACATTATAATTTGACATCTGTATATTCCATTGTGTGTTTGCCTTATCATTTTTCATGGCTTTATATGATGTCAGGCCATGTGTGGATATGCCATTGTTTATTTGTAGACATTTCTGTTAACAGTTTTTGCTGTTATAAACAATACTGCAGCGATTCATTCATCAGATATTTACCGAACAACTACTTTGTGCTAAGCATACATAATAGCTCTTCTGTACATACGTATTTGCACACATTCATTTACTTATAAATTTTTTTAGAAGTAGGATTGTTGTGTCAAAAGGTAGGCATGTTTTGAAATCTGTTTGTTCTACTAAAAGCTTTTATATTGATAAACTATTGTTAGATACAGTCCGAATAATAGTAAACAGGGTTGCCAGATTCTCCCCTCGTATGTTATAAAACACTGAATACTATTGATCTTTTTAGTATGTGCCAATCTGAAATGATATCAGTTTGCATCTCTTTGGTTACTACCAGTGAAGTTGAGCATCTTGTGCTTATGATTTTATTTCTAGTTTGGTCCATTGCTGGAAGTCTTGCCCCACCTTGATCTTACCTTAATGTTGTTTTTTGCATATAACTGAGAGATTTCTAGAAAAGGTTTTTTGAAATAGAAATCTGTGTATGGATTGATTGCACCTGTATTTTGCACTAAATCTAATACAGTAAATAGTAAAAATGAGGTATGAAAGGTAGATAAGGAATTAAAACTTATTTTAACCTTTTTTTAAAAATGAAAATCTCACAGAGATCAAGGAAAACGACCAATATTTGCCATAAAAAAAAAGTACATATTGAACCTTTTGCTTTTTATTGATCTCTAAGGGTTAGGGGTGTATTTCTTTGTTCCTTGTTAATTTAGGTGAGATGGTAGATGAGAGAAATGATACACTACTCTTAGGAGATATTCTAGGATTTATTTGCTCTAAAAATTTCTTGCGTTATATGTCATTAGAGGTTATCGAAGTGGATGGTACTTCGATTTGTATTTTGCTCTTTGCCTTTGTAGTCGCTTTTGCCTTTCTAGTTTCTAAGTCACTTTAAGACCTTTGATGACTTTTAATCACTGTTCTGTTCTCTGTCCTGTTGCTATTTCTGGTCCCTGAATTTTTGTCTTCTCTGTACTTTCATTCTTTTCCTTGGTTCCTTTCCTCTATTTCAACTTGAGCTAGATAAGGATTGAAAGCATTTATTTCTTCTGGTTTTGAAGAAATTAATCATATTATGTGGTCTTTAATTTTTATGTACGGATACTTTCCAGCAATTTAGACTTCCTTAAGCTCTGAGTGCACAACTCCTCTGGACAGTTGAGTTTACTAGCCACTTGGATGATAGTGTATATGTAGACGAAATATTGTCATTTCACCTAAAATGTAATGTTAATAATGATATAATGATATGATTAAAATGTTGAACCTTGTGAACTTAATAGTAACTTTCCTTGTTACCTTAATGAAGTCATTTAAAGTGGCATATTTTTCATTTTGTAAATTTCGATGACCTCATATTTTATTGCTTCCCTTCCTTTAGATAGCATTTGCTTACATAGCAAATGGAAGAGCCAAAATATTTAAGCCAAACATCCGGTATCTTATCTGTTTTGTTCCTTTTACAAATATTTGCCTGGCACTGTTTTGGTCTTGAGGATACAATGAAGTCCCTCTTTTCAAGGAGGTTGCGAAGAAACTGGGTAATCGTATTTAAAGTCTCCTCATTTCACTTTGATGGGCCTTAAAATGCTCAAAAGTAAAAGGATCCAGTCTCTTAAATGCCAAATAAGTAAAGAAGAACTGTAAAGCCCATGGAAGGGACCCTGAATGAGTGAACTAGGTCAGTGCCTCTCAAAATTTTCCATGTGTATGAATCACCTGAGGATCTTGTTAAAATGCAGATTCTGATTCAGTAGGTCTAAGGTAAGGCCTGAGATTCAGCATTTCTTGCAAGCTTCCGGGTGATGACTATGCTACCAGTCTGTGAACCACACTTTAAGTAGCAAGGAATTAGTATATAATAAGAGAAAAAAATAGCCTGCTGCCATTTTGAGAAGAGTAGTTTGGAGCCATGTAGCACAGGCTTGGAGTTGTGAGTAGCACATCACACTTGGCCTTGGTGAAATGAAATTATAAGAGCTGTTAATGTTCGTATATTAAGAGAGGGTGTTAAGGACATAATCAACACCTGTTTTTTTGAATTGAGCTTGGATGGATGGTGCAGGGGTCTGAAACCTTTGAAAAGATACTAGTTGGTGAAAGAGACAAGAATCTTCAGATATGAGGACAGTGACTATCTAGTTAGATAAACAGAATTTCCAAGAGTCAAGTGTTGACTGGTAAGACTTAATTTGTAATTGAGAAGTTTTCCTCTTCTGTTTTTACTTTAACTGGCATAGTGATTCTAGTTTAAAAAAGTAAAAATAAGTCCTATATAAAAAAATAGATAATATACTTTTTTTCTATAGGCATATTCTGTGTGGGAAGTATGTCAAATTCAATGTCAAATTCAAAGTATGTCAAAAACAATTTCATTGTTTTCCAAGTCTGACTAAAGCTTAAATGTTGTGCTTAAGTTGTCCTTCTCTGATATGTTCCTCCAGTGGTGGGTACTTGGAGTGTAAATAACCTGGGAGTTCATTTATCTTCATAGAGTTAGCAGAAGACTCTTAATCTTGGAGGTGGTATAAAATGTCCAGTGGGTATTGAGCATTTATCCATAGGGAAAATTTGGCAAGCCAAATCTTAGAACCAACAACCTTTTATTTAATTCTGTGAATTCTCAATGTTTGTGTTTCCAGTTGTGTTTTTAGAAATTTAGAATTTTTTTCCTTTCTGGTACTATTTTAGAAATACTCTATATTCATATTTCATCTTTAATATAGCACCTAGCTTGCTCCAGTCCTAAGATATTGGGAAATTTCTGCTGACACCCATACTTTATTATGGCTCCTTCATTAGTATCATTGGAATAATTGTTTCCTTGAAAATAGTTACAATATAGTAAGGAGCTTTTTAGTTTATTTTGCTATAATGCAGGCAGAAATATGTGAAATGTAATCATGGACAAAACATAAATGTTGCCTTAATTATATTGGCATATTATGATCAAATACATATCAACTGTTTTCACTAGTGATATACCTAATGCAATTTCTGGCATATTTGAAAAGCATTTGCTACACTTATTATTTCTCTGTGGGTGTATCTTTTTTTTTGGTATGTGTTTAGTTCTCTTAGCTCAACTGTTAAAACTGAAAGTTCCCATCTGATCTCAGAAGCTAAGCAGGGTTGGGCCTGGTTAGTACTTGGATGGGAGACCACCTAGGAATACCAGGTGCTGTAGGCATTAAAAAAAAAAAAAACAACCAAAAAAAAGAAAGTAAAAACATCAGAAGTGTTATAGCCTGTTTTAGAGTCAGTCCAGTGAAGCAATGAAGTGAAACACATTGTTGGCTAAAAATACATTTTGAAAATTACATCTGAAATTATTTTGTTAGAGCATCTATTGGAAATGAAATTCAGCTGTTCTTATTCTGCAGGTTATTTTTAAACATTATTATATGAAAGTAGATGTCTATACAAAATAAGTTTCTAATGTCTTTCAGTTTTTAACTAATTTTTCCTTAGAACCATATAAGCCTTTATATATTCTGAGTATTGAATGAATATGTAGAATGTTAGAAGTAGAATTTTAGAGCTCGTGTGAATCTTATAGACACTAGAATTTCTAAAACGAATTTTAGATTATTTACATAGGGTTACAGCTTTTGATTTTGACTCTTCAGGGCAGCAGTCCCCAACTCTTTTGGCACCAGGGACCTGTGCTCCTATGAGAATCTAATGCCTGATGATCTGAGGTGGAGCTGAGGTGGTGATGCTAGTGTTGGGGAGCGGCTGCAAAGACAGATGAAGCTTCGCTTGCTTGCTGGTGGCTCACCTGCTGTGAGGTTGGGTTCCTAATAGGCCATGGACTGGTACCAGTCCAAGGCCGGGGGTTTGGAGACCGTTGCTTTAGGGTATTTCAAAAACAGCTACTACTGTCTGTCACATCATCTCATTTTAACACCAAAAAAATAAGAAGGACAATCATAGTAAGCACATTTGGTTAACTTTATAGCCACTTTTGGTCATGGCTGTCACCTGTTCGAGGATTAGATTTTAGGAACCATTCTCTAATACAACTCTGGCCTTTTAAGTTTAGAATCCAGGTCTTCTGTTAGACTCCTAACCCAAAATTTTGATCCACTCCTCTCAGTCTTTGTCACATGAGACTTAGGCTCAGAGAGTTTGTGCTTTAATTAAGATCATATGGACAGTAAGAAGTAGAGCTGGAAGTTGAGTCCCCATTACCCAACTCCCTTTTTAGTGAAGTCTGTACATTCACTTCCATGTAATTTTAACCCACTCTGTCAGCCCCTGTTCAGTTGTAGAGTTAGAAGTATAAGGGATTGAAAGAATGTCTATATTTAGCATTTTCTTTCCTTGAAAATTTCAGATTTGGGCCTTAAGCAACTTCTTCCAGGGAAGAAGGCCCCTGCAGCTGCTGTTGCAACTGAAGATCTTGATCCACATCCATAGATCGGAATATTGGTGGGCCAACTATCCTCAGACACCTTACTTAGGACAGGTAAGTGAAAGAGATAATTAGTAATGGTAAGAAAAGTAGAATGAATGCTAATGTTCTTCCTTCCTGTTTCTTGTTAGAGGCAAACAGCTGACTGCCTTTAGAAATTTAACTCTGGTTAAAACAAAGCAGTTGAAATCTTAAGTATGTGGAGCTAAACATTTTCTTGATTGTAAGATATGTGTCAAAATGTTAACAGTAGTGAAACTTACCATGATTTTTTTCTTTCTCTTTTTGTGCATTTTCCAAAGTGTATTCATTCATGAGCTTGTGTTAGTTATCTATTGTTGCATAACAGACCAAACTTAGTCTTTTAAAATATACCAATTACTTATTTTGCTAATATATCTGCAATTTGGGCAAGACTCTCTTGGTGGGGACAGCTTGTCTCTGTTAACCTGTGGTGTGACATAGGGTAGCTGGAAGGGTTGGGGTGGCTCAATGGCTGCAAGCTAGACTCATTTGAAGGTTTACTCACTCAAGTGTCTGATGGTTAATGCTGGGTGTTGGTAGGGACCTCAGCCTGGGCCATCAGTCAGAACACCTACACATGACCTCCCCTTTTGGCTGCTTGGCTTCTTCACAGCATGGTGGCCGGTTTCCAAGAGAGCATCCCAGAGAGCAAGGGGAAGTTGCATGGCATATTCGACTTAGTTTTGTAAGTCGTATAGTGTTACCCTGCTCTTTTCTATTGGTCGAGGTCATTATAAAGGTCCACCCAGGTTTAGAGGATGGGGTGGACATAGACTCACTCCATCACTTGAAGGGAAGAGTGTCCACATTATAGGAAGAGCATATGGAATGGAATCTGCTATTGTAGCCATCTTTGGAAAACATAATCTGCCACAGTTTGTGTTACTTGAAGTATATAAATAATATGTATGATATGTGAAAAAGGAGTATTTGCAGAAAATTATGATGTATGAGTCCAATAAGAATTTTGTGTGCTCCTCTTGTCTAGTGAAGTATATTGAAAATAAGAGGCTGAAACAGGAAGAACTGAAATAGATTGAATTTTCTATTGTATCAACAAAGCTGTAATCAGAAGTAGAGACAAAAACTTATAAACAAGATGCAAAGTAAGATTTGTAGTTTGAGATTTGGTTTTAAGAAAATACTACTTATTTTTTTAAGTCTACTTGTTTTTTTCCCCTTGTTTTAATAATTTGAGAATTATTTGGGAAACTTGTTTCCAATACATATGATAGATTTGAGAAACTAGTGCCAGTATTATTATATATATCAAGTTCGTTTTTTCTGTCTGCTTTTTATATGAAAACTATAATCTTTTTTTAGTATTGTACCATTTTCCCTGCTACACTTCTGGTAAATATTGAAAATTTTTTATTTAACGAGACAAGAAAACTTGGAAAGTTGTAGAATTTGGTTGTCTTATTGATTATACTTACCCACCAATTATAAATTGCCTGTGACAGGTTTGAATATAGCTATTACTTAATTTCTGGATGTAATGGAATAATAATATTAGATAGTCCTCTAAGCATTACATGGAGATGTGGTCCATTCACTATTGCTGAGAAATAAGCTCTAGGGAGTGTCTTATTATCTATTAGACCCAGAAAATTTTCTTGCTGTCTAGATGCTTTCCCATTTCTAGGTGATTTGCATTATAATTAGCCTACTCATTCCCCATTCCTCACAGGTAGGTAGATATTTTACAGTGGAAAATGACTGAACCAGGTATTGTGATAATAGAGTAATCTGCTCTTAACTGTGAATAATCAGAATTGACTGAGTTTGCAAAACAATATATTTTAGTTCAAAAGGTACAATAATTGAGAAAGCTGTTTTTTGTTTTTTTTGTTTTTTTTTTTACATTTGAAAACAAAATGAGATGTTTTCTGGTAGACATATATTGGGAATGATGATGATAGGTAGTGTAAAACAGTGTATCTTAAATAACAACCCAAAATATATACATACACACACTCGCACAAACATATAAAACTTTCAAGCAATTAACTTGCCTTCTTTTTTGTTTTAAGCATTTTATTTTTTTGGCCCACTATTGCTGTTACAAAGTCCAAGTAGGTCAATTGCTGATAACATTTTTTCCAGGTTTATTCACTGCTTTATCTTGCCTCCCTTCTACAAGGCCTGTGCCTGACGGGATAAAAATTCCTTAGGTGAGTGAGACATTGCTTTCTGACTGGTCTTAGCAAAACACTTTAAGCTTTTTCCTGTTTGATGATGTTAGCTGTGGGTTTGTCATGTGTGCCCTGTATTATGTTGAGGTGTGTTCCCTCTATTCCCTCTTTGCTGAGATTTTTTTTTTTTTTTAAATCATAAATAGATGTTGGATTTTGTCAAATACTTTTTCTATATCGATTGATATGATCATGTGATTTTTATCCTTCACTTTATACGGTAGATCACATTAATTTGGTTTGTGGATATTGAACCAGCCACCTTCTGTCCTGGGAATAAATCCCACTTGATCATGGTGTATGATCTTTTTAAAGTATTGTCGAATTTAGTTTACTAATATTTTCTTGAGGATTTTCGCATCTATGTTCGTCAGAGATATTGGTCTAGGGATATTGGTTCTTTTTTCGTAATATCCTTGTCTGGTTTTGGAATCAGGATAATACAAGCCTCATAAAATGGGCTTGGGAACCTTCCTTCCTCTTCAGCTTTTTGGAATAGTTTGAAAAGGATAGGTGTTAATTCTTCTTTGAGTGTTTGGTAAAATTCACCTGTGAAGCCATTTGGTCCAAATTTCCATTTGTTAGGTTTTTTGATTACTGAATGGATTTGTTAATTGTAATCAGTCTGTTTATATTTTCTATTTCCTGATTCAGTCTTGGAAGAGTATGTTTCTAGGAATTTCTCCATTTCTTCCAGATTGTTCAATATGTTGGCATATAATTGTTCATACTATTTCTTTATAATCCCTTCTATTTTAGTGGTGTTAGTTGTCACTTCTTTTTTTCCCTGGTTTTATTTATTTGGGTTCTATCTCTTGTTGAGTCTGGTTAAAGGTTTATCAGCTTTGTTTATCTTCTCAAGGAACCAACTTTTGGTTTCATTAATCATTTCAGTTGTTTTTTTACACACTTTTTTATTTATTTCCACTCTGATCTTCATTATTCTCTCCCTTCTACTCACTTTGGGCTTTGGTGTTATTCTATTTCTAGTTCCTTTAGCTATAAGGTTAGATTTTTTGAGATATATATATTTTTAATTTTAATTAGTTTCGAGAGTATAGTACATTGGTTAGACATCTATATAGTTAATAAAATGATCCCACCAAATGCTCCCTCCTTCCCCTGACCCCCCACCTAGCCAATGTATTAATGCTAATTGCATTACCTATGCCATGCTCCCCATCCCCGTGACCATCCATAAGCTATTAATTTGTACTTCTTTAACCCGTCACTCCATTCTCCCAGCTCCCCAAACCCCCCACCCCTCTGTCAGTCACCAAATTGTCCACTATATCTGTGAGTCTGTTTTTGATTAGTTTGTTCTTTTTATTCCTTAGATTCCGCATGTAAGTGAAATCATATCGTGTTTATCTTTCTCTATCCAACTTAAATACCTTCTAGGTCCATCAAAGCGATATCTTTTTCCATCCCTTTCCTTTTTATATGTAGGGGTCTTGTTTTCTTATCCTTTCAGCCACTCTGTCTTTTGGTTGGAGCACTTAATTCTTTTCCATTTAAGGTACTTATTGATGGGAATGTAGTTGTTATAGTTCTTTATTCCTGTTTTTGATAATGTTTTTCCTTCTTAAAGAAGTCCCTCCAACATTTCCTGTAATACGAGCTTGGTAGCAACAAACTCTTTTAGCTTATTTTTGTTTGGGAAGCTCTTCGTCCTTTAACTCTAAATGATAGCTTTACCGGATAAAGTATTCTTGGTTGTAGATCCTGGGTCTTCATCCTGTCGAATATTTTTTGCCAAGCTCTTCTGTCCTGCATAGTTTCTTTTGAGAAATCAGCTGCCAGTCTTATGGGTGTTCCCTTAAAAGTAATTATCTGTTTTGATGCTTTTAATATTCTTTCTTTGGATTTAACCTTTGGCATTTTAATTATGAAGTGTCTTAGTGTGGGCCTCTTTGGATCCCTGATTTTTGGAATTCTCTGAGCTTCCTGGGGTTTTATGTCCATTTCCTTCACCAGGTTAGGGAAGTGTTCCATCGTTATTTCTCAAACAGCTGTTCAACATTTGATTTTCTTCAGTTACACCAAACAGACGAATATTTGGAGCCTTAATAGTATCCCATATCCTCCTTAAATTGATTTTATCCCGTCCTCTATATTGGTTGTTCGATCCTCTTCTTCATCCACTCTTTTAATTCCCTCTAATATACTCTTTATCTCAGATGGTATATTCTCCATTTCTTACTGGTTACCTTTTATAATTTCCATTTCCATTTTTATGTTTTTTATCTCTTTGTTGAAGTTCTCACTGAATTTATCTACACTTCCCAAAAGTTCATTGAGCATCTTGATAACCAGTGTTTTGAATTCCACATCTGTTAGATTGCTTGACTCCATTATTTCTGGATCTCTGTTCTATTCTCTCATGTGGTTTCTGCTTCTTTGTCTTCCCATTTTGACTGCCTTTCCGTGTCTGTTTCTATGTACTAGGCAAAGCTCCTAAGTCTCCTGGTCTTATTACTGTGAATTTGTGAAGAAGGTGTCCAGTGGCACAGTCCTGAGAGGGATCTAGCTGCAGGCCAAATTTAGCCCAAGCCTCTACTCCTCTGGAGCCACCTGTTAAGATTCAGAAAGCAATCCACAGATGATGAACTTATAGTTGCTTCAAAAGGCTACACCAGAAACCGAGGCCAGCTGCCTTCTCTAGTGTGAGTCTCAGCAAGGAGCACCTGACTCGCTTAGGATATACCTAGATGTGGCTTGGGTGGAGCCGTGAGTTAGGGTAGGTGGGGTTCCAGGGAATCCTCTGGGCGGAGTGACCTCTGTTATCCAGTTTGATGACGTCACAGCTATGGCGGTGCTGTGTCTGGTGCAATG